ATATATTTGTGGATCCTGTGATACAGGATTCTACAATGAATAGAAAGTTCAAACGAACAGCATTTATTTGAAACAGAAATCCTCTGCAACATTGAATGTTTTTACTGTCAGGTTTGATCAGTTTAATAGGTCTTTGCTAAATAAAATACATTTTACTGACCCCAAACTTTTAATTAAAATTTTTATAAAGTATAAAGCACAATATCATCATCTCAGTGTTGGATCAGCCCTATTACCCTGAGAGATTACACATGAAGTGTAGAGACTTGACAGGCTTCATCATCTGTTAATACATTTTCCCATGATGTCTCTGAGTTTCTTCCATTCTCCATCATAAAATTCCATCTCCGGCTTTTCCATAGTGTACAAAATAACATGAAGTCCTCCCTGACATTAAACAGGACTGTTCAATTCAAAGGAATATTTTCCAGCTTGAACTGAACAAATATTCTAAGAGAAGCTAGTTACCAATCGTCATGGAATCCTTTGTATGCTAAACAGCGAAGACCCAAACACACATGCTCTTTCTCCTGTTAATCCAGCTGTCATGCCACAGATCACATGACGAACCGCAAGAAAGAAAATTTAGTTTATAAACAACTTTGCTATTGCAATACTGACAAATCTCATAAACTGCCAATCCCTTACTCCAAACCCCACCCATTGACTCATGATTACCTTCAGTGGATAAAACATACAAACATGCACACCGTTTATGAACATGCACAAATTTGTGATGATAACCTATAAAATATTAAAATTCAAGATGCCTTTGTATATCATGAATATTCATATACACCAAGTTTGGGATCAGTAAGTTTTTTGAAAGAAATACTTTTATTCAGCAAGGATGCATTCAAACTGATCAAAAGTTACAGCAAATAAATTTATAAGGTTACAAAAGATTTCCATTTCAAATAAATGCTGTTCTTTTAAACAGTTTTCACAAAAATATTTCACAAAAATACAACTGTTTTCAACATTGATAATAATAAGAAATGTTTCTTGAGCATCAAATTAGCGTATTAGAATAATTTCTGAAAGAACATGTGACACTGAAGACTAGTAATGACTGCTAAAAATTCAGTTTTGAATAAATTACACTATAAAATATATTAAAACAGAAACAATGATTTTAAACTGTAATAATATTTCACAACATTCTGTTTTACTGTATTTTTTAACAAATAAATGCAGCCTTGGTGAGCCTAAGAGACTTCTTTCAAAAACATTAAATCTTACCAACCCCAAAATGCTGAACAGTAGTGTAATTATTAAAAGGTTTATATATGATCATGGAATACAAATTAAAATGTATCAGATTTCTTAAATTCAATGTCATAGGTTTAAGTCCTCATACTCCTCTCTGCCCCAAAGATCAGTGAAGAACATACAGTATGTCACTGTATGTGAACAACACCAACCTCTCAGTATTATCTACAATTTCCGACAAAAGTTGATGTTGACAAAAAATTAATTGAGCCCATAAAAAACCTTTAATTACAATAATACGGATTTCAGCTGTTTGTGGTATAAACACAAAGTGCATTATTTATTTTTCTTCTTTTTCAAGCAATAACATCAAAACAATTAACTTTTAAAAGTATAATAATCATAATCACGAATGTACTGTGCAGAAATAAAGTAGCTCAGCTACATTAAATATGTAAATTTGTTTGCAAAAGTGATGTGCTAATATATCAGCATGAGCTATGTGCTCAGTGTCCAGAACTCTAAACTCTAATTGGATGTTATTTGGGGTCTTTGTGATGGCTGTGGTGCCGTCCTCCTCCTGCGATTGGCTGAGGTGTTCATTGTGCTCAAAAATATGGTGGTCTATATGGTGGCTGAAAAACAAGAAGAGGAGCTTTTGAGATCTACATAAGATGTGCTTGAGATTTAGTTCTGCAGGTTTAATATGATCCAGCAGAATGAGACCAGAGCAGGAGCATCCCAGAACTCAAGAGCCAAACCTACAACCCTGAAAGCAACATTTTTGTCACCAACACTCTGATAAAAACAAACTCCAGCAGACTAAAGCAGAGCCATCACCAAACCAACCCATCACATACACTTATATGCAGACTCACACTTGCAAAATCTCTTTATAGACCCATTCAAACAGTCATAATTGCTCACCAGCATTCCACCTGGAGCTGCAGGCCCTCCGTATGGTCCCATGGGCCCTGGACCGAAGCCTCCTGGTGGGCCAGGTTGAGGAGGGAAGCCCCCTCCGGGTGTACCCCAGGACCCTGGTGGAACTGGGGGAAACATTCCTCCTCCATATCCCAGGCCTCCATCTGGTGGAAAGGCACCAGGGCCTCCTGGGCCGTACATGCCAGGCCCAGATGGACCAGGTGGGTAAGGCACGTTTGGATATGGGCCCTGTGGAGCCCCAGGTGGGGAGGGGAACTGTCCAGGAACGGGGTATGGCACGGGTGCCCCACCTGGTGGGAACTGACCTGGCACCGAGGGGAACTGTCCTGGAGCTCCAGGGTTGGAGGGGAACTGTCCTGGAGCTCCAGGGTTGGAGGGGAACTGTCCAGGTACGCCCGGTCCTGGAGGGTATCCACCCGGGGCAGCAGGGGCTCCAGGAAACTGGCCCGGGGCTCCTGGGCCTGGTGGAAAGGAACCTGGGGCAGACGGCCCAGTCTGAGGGAAGCCAGGTGCTGTCGGTTGGGCAGGGCCTCCTGAGGATGGGAAATGAGGGCCACCAGGGGCCGCACCAGGCCAGCCAGGATTAGTGGGTGGCGGAGCCCCATTTCCAGGAGCTGATGGATTGGTGTGCTTAGTTTTCGATGCTTCACTAGAAACATCATCTGGGATTGCATCAGCAAGCTACAGAAAGAGAATGCAGGAAATATCACAGCAAATAAAACACTAGCTGAGAGTTATCAGAGAGACAAAATCACAAAGCCAAAGACTAACTAGGGCAAACAGTGGGGTCCAAAAGTCTGAGACCAGATTGAAAATATGAGATTAAAAAACAAAATTAAACATGTAAAAGAACAGAAAATTGTAGGACTTTACAAAAATAATAACATTATGATGTCAAATTAATCATTTTTAATATTCTGCAATACTTCTAGTAACTACCAGCTAATTAAATAAGTAAATGTGTGACATTTGAATTTCTTTCAGCAAAAGATTAGGCATTTTTGCTTCCACAAAAGTAGAAGATGCTCTTTGGATCATTCACAAATCATGCTGGACAACATGATCATCAGGCTTGTGGAGTTCAGTGCTGCTGTCATCAAAGCAAAGTAGGGAAAAACCAAATACAAATATTTTTCATTAAACATGTTTAGTTTTCACTTACACTTATTTTTTTATTTTATATTTCTTATGCTAATAATTAAAATCAATTATATTTAATTATAAAAAATAATAATACATTTATATTTATACATTTGAATAAAAATAGATTAATTCCATCATTAAGTTATAAAAGAATGCACAACAGAAACTTTTCACTAGTGGTCTCATGCTGGTCTCACTGTATATTATACACTAGATATTTTGGTATATCTATACTATTTTTAATTTAATTATTGAATATATGTGCTGAATACAGATATTATATCAATTAAACTGTCGAGAAATGTAAATAACTGAGTCTACTAGTACATTCATTTCTACTGCTGGTAACAGAGAAAAAATAACACAACGTTTCTTTACTAACGCAGAAGAAAATACAGCCCAAACCGATACAAGTGAACTATTGAACAAGATTATTTATAAAACAGTTAAAACACTTACCGAAAAGTCTGCCATGGCCTAAAAAGATACAAACAGTGACACTTAATGACATGCAACTGTATACAAATCAACCTCTGTTATAAATCAAGTACATGTACACAACTAATTACACAGACGTTAATTAATAGAGCGTAACGGCACTGCATCAAACACAATCTCGCAGATATTTAAGTTATACTTTAAAATGTAATATTAAATCAGGGATTCCAACTACACATAGAACAATCTGTGTAGGGCTATACATGCGCATTTGAGTGAAATGGAAGCAGTTTTGTGGGCATCAGCACCTCGACTGTATCAGGGCCTGCGGTCCGAAGATTTGGGCTTCTAAACAACACCAGGTCCCGTCGCCAGAAAAGATCCGAAAGCCAGAATTACTCAACTCTATGCAGGAAGTGAGGTGATAACTGGAACATTCAGGGTTTTCAACGGCGTGTTGAACATTGTGAGCACCAAGTAATATGGATGGCACATTAACCACTTTAGTTAAAAGCACAGAACAATCTACTGCGTTTATAGATCAGATATGAGCGCTATGCACGCACACGCACACCGACGGGCGCGTCCTCCGAGGGATGGGCCGGCTCATCTGCGCATGCGCAGGGGTTACTGTGACGAAGGAGGCGTTTTCGAACAACCATAACAACCATAATAAAATGAATCACAGCCTTACAACTGTTTTCTAAATGCCACTTTCCACGAATAGAGCCAGAAAAGGTGAAGTTTTTCCAACAAATGGTGAAGGTTGAAGTGAAGGTTGACAAAATGTTGATTGTCTCGGATCCAAATTGTTTGTTGTTACTGATAAATTTATATTTCCCATCAATTAAGAAAAAATAAGAGATTTTCTCAATGCATATATCATTTACAAATAAAAAAAGACTCTAATGCTCAAAAAAGGAGTGGGACTTTACATGTTCTGTATTCCTGAAATGTGCTTTTTAATACGTTCCGAATGTTATTATTACTATTTGAAACGTCAAAGTCTGTTAATTAAATATTCCTTTATATTACTTTAAATAAATTAATGATGGCGATATTTTAAGGCATTGAATGCATTCATTTGGGGTACATTTGCGTGCATTTCATTATTTTGAACGAATCGCTGGCAATCTATCTAAATCCTCTAATTTGCCCGTAGGGTGCAGAGAGATGCGTGCATCCGATAGTTCTTTCCATGAGCATCAGTTCATGCCTAAATGCTACTGTTCTGGGATCAGACAGAGCTCGTTCTTCTATGGATGAAGTGAACTGATCCTAGTACAGCCCTTTATGCAAATCCTGGCGCATTCCATCGCTGTGATTGGTCGAACGAGCGTCACGAGACGCGGCACGGTAGAACTTTGCACTGCTGAGCTCGTGCGGTCTGTGAAAATGGTGAGTACAAAAACTGCCTTGGATTAACAAAAACATTTTAATGGCGGCCCCCTCTGGCCAAGATGAATAATAATACGGAGGCATCTACAAATAACGCCGTACGCCTCAATGGTCTGTGATAGATTGGTCGAACGAGCGTCACGAGACGCGGCACGGTAGAACTCCTGCACTGCTGAGCTCGTGCGGTCTGTGAAAATGGTGAGTACAAAAACTGCCTTGGATTAATAAAAACATTTTAATGGCGGCCCCCTCTGGCCAAGATGAATAATAATACGGAGGCATCTACAAATAACGCCGTACGCCTCAATGGTCTGTGATATGTGTATGTTAGAAGGGTTGTTTTTCTGAGCCCTGCTGCAGTTCCACCCAGTGCTTTGTGATGAGCTGCATGTCAAACCCTCTCTTGCATTACACCGACTTCATAAAGTCTACCAAAATAAAGGCACGTCTGGCGTTCAATATACCCCAAAACTATGTTTTGAATTTTCACGAGATAGGATCGCCTTACATAACTGCTATATGATGGAATTCCGGGGGAATTCTCATTTCCTGTTGCAGACGTGCTCACACCTCAGTATTTCAAGGAAATTTGGGAAATCTGCTGAGCGACAAAGAGACGGCGCGGCTCCTTTGCTTTGAATGGCACGTCAAGTCACGATTAAACAATGTAACTAAATCAGAGCAGAAATGACAATGTAATGAAATAAACGCGGATTCTTTGCATTCCACCCGCAATGCACGTCAAAACACGTTTGACCACTTCGTCCGCCACATCACCAGCTTAGAACGTGATTATGACCTACACAGGTTGTCATGGTGCATGCCTTTTGTGAACTCCTATTCCTTGTGATGTTGTGTGTCAGAGTAGACAGGTGGTTTTATTGTTGAGATGGCTGCATCTTAAGCTGTTGTGATTTCAAGTTTGTTAACAGAATTTCACAATCGGAAGAAATACTTAGTAGTTTCCAAGCTCACTGCATTCAGTCCGTTGGTTACTTGTTACTCTCAACATTTTTTATTTCACTGCCCCCTTTGTCCAGGACAATATTTGATGGCCCTGCTATCTAAGCTAATATATCTCTGGTACTACTAAAAATAAACATTAACTAAAAAATATGTCAGTTTAAAATATTTTTTAAAGCATGTTAATTAAAATGATATTAAATTAATATAACTAAATCTATGTAATTGTAAGACATAACGGGCCCCACAACCCTGGCCCCTGTTGAGAACCACTGCTTTAGAAATACTTTAAATGGACAAACTCTCAACCCTGAGTGTGTCCCTATGGCTCATAATCAAAGAGATTATTTGGAAGTTTCTCAGGTTATGTGGCTTTATGAATTATGTATAAACTACTACTAGTCAAAAGTTTGGACACAATTAACTAAGCAGACTAACAAAGTTAAAAAAATAGTAATAACAATAATGTGTGTGTGTGTGTGCACGCAGAGTGAGTCTTTAGTTGTGTGTGAGGTGGATGAAGACCTGGTGAAAAAGTTGCGGGATTTCCGCTTCAGGAAGGAGACTAATAATGCCGCCATCATCAGTGAGTCGAACTGAAATTGTTCCATAAATGCTCACACTTTCTCAGATCCTGTGAGGATTGAATGGTAATATTGCTGTTTTTGTCCTCTGGTTACAGTGAAGATTGATAAAGACAAACAGCTGGTGATTCTGGAGGAGGAGCATGAGGTAAATTACATACACAAGACCACTGTTATCGCATGAATATGTAATACTCAGCTTTCTAGTATGACTAATAATTGAGCAGCTCGGTGACATAAACCAGGGTTTGATTTGTCCTTGTAGGATATTTCTCCTGAAGACCTGAAGAACGAGCTACCAGAAAGACAGCCTAGATATCCTTCACTAAAACAAAACTCACTCTGTGCTGTGCTGTAAACTCAAAAAATGTGTCTATTCAACATTGAACAATCATTGGATTCCTTAACCTCTGACACATTTGTAGTCTACAGCTATAAGTACCAGCACGATGATGGGAGGGTGTCCTACCCTCTGTGTTTTATTTTCTCCAGTCCTGTTGGTAAAGAAAATACACATATTCAATAGTCAACATACACAAACAAAGTAATATAAAGCAATGCTAAGTCTCTAAAATTAAACCCAATTTTCCAGGATGCAAACCTGAGCAGCAGATGATGTATGCTGGCAGCAAAAACAAACTGGTACAGACGGTTGAACTGACCAAGGTGAGTTCTAACTAACACACCTAACCTTACACATGTTGTTGTTTTTTTAAAAGCAGTGTAGTGGGAATGTCTTTTTAAATTTGTCTGGATCTGCTTTCTCTCAGGTGTTTGAGATCAGGAACACCGAAGACCTGACAGAGGAGTGGCTCAGAGAGAAACTGGGCTTCTTCCGCTAAGAATGGCCCGAACAAGCTAATACTCGTGCTTAAAGAGTGACCGAGATGGGACCATCACCTCCAAATGGAGAGAATACCATAGTCCATCTGATACTGTCTGTTTGTGTATGTTTGAATGCTTCTGCCCAAACTCTAAACCCGCCTGTACCAGTTTAAGATGACAGAAATTTGAGGTACAAAGAAAAGAAAACGTGAAAGCAAATTCCACAAGTGCTCTGAACTATTCCTTGGATTTTTAGAACCATTCCGTTCTCGTCCCTGAGCAGTAACGTATGTACTGGCCTGCAAAGGTGGTCCAGTCTTACTGCCATGATAGTTGGGTGACATGTTGCGATTTTAGGCAATCTTATGTCAGCTGTCCTTCATGATAGATGACACGGCAACAGATTTAAACATTTTAAAACTCTATCATGTGGTTTGTTTTACCAGTTTTGGTGTAAAATCACATAAGTCTTCATGTAAAGCCCTGATCACATCTTTTCTTCCTTTGTAATGCATTTTTCTACCTGTAATTTGACCAAACATGAATTGTTTTGTTTTGATATCTGTTGAACTGTAATGGTAGGTGAAGAGGTCAGAAGTCTTACTGATATTTTTGGGAGAAAGCGTTTGGTTACTGTTTCTGGCCTGTTGTCTTGAGTGTCATAAATTCAATCTTTTTTGCCTTTTTAAATCTGCGCTCCCAGCCTGATAAACAAATCTCCACTAAAGATCAAGAATCTGTGAGGACAATTGGGTGAAAGTTCTGGGACTAATTTTTCTTGATTTGGTGTTTTTGGGAGAGGTGATATAGTATTTGTCACCCAGACGTCCTTAATCACAGATCTGTCCTACCTTTTTGGAAATGTGCAGGTTTAGGTGTACAGTGGCAGAGATGTGCTATGGTGTTATTCTGCCACAGGCAATCATCTCGTAATTAATTCCTCTGTTAGTTATTCTAAATGACTCTTTCTCATTGTCCAACTAAACGCTGGAATAAAGCTGATGTCACTATTAAGTTTATGCAAAGCATCGCTTTTCCCATTAAAAAAAACAAAAACAATCTTTTTATTGGCAAAATGTAAACAGGAAATTTCTTAAATGTTCAAAGCTTAACAGAATACTATGAATAGTTTAAGGAAGTGATGTTATTATGGTTTTGATAAGTAATACCTCTGCAGATCTCAAGTCTTTCTGAATTTGTGAGCTCTAATGTGGGTCAGGCTCATCTCTGTACATCTGTAGAACCCGTAACACCTGTGATTAGTCCCGTTTCCAATTAAACACTGATTGCTCACTTTGGTGGTTTATATGATGTGGACATCACATGATATGTCCCATACAGTAGTGAACTGTGCATGTGTTAACATTTAATTTTTAATGACTGAAGATGCTTTTCCTGATCATTTATAACTCAAGATCTATCTTGAAAGCAGAAAAAACGTTAACCTTTCAATATGTGTCTCAATTACATTTGTCTGCTGTTTTGAATAATTAAATAGAAGGTTGTTTCCTTTGAAAATTTGACCATGTGCTTAACTGGAGTGTTCTTGATTGATATTCACACATTTTATTTTTAAACTTCTTAACTGTACTGTGCATCATGATCGTTCATGTCATGAAATATAATTACACTGAACGTTAACATGTTAAATATGGGTATCTTACTCATTTTAGCAAAGTTTACTGGTGGGAGTACATAATGGATTATTCTGTTCTGAATAATGGTGATTACTTCTTAAGAGTGAAATGAAGATTTAGTTTCTGCATTCTACATATTCTGCTTACATGGGTAGGAACTATCTGCTTAGAGAGCAAATGTAATTCCATTACAAACAGACAAGGTGATTTAGCCATACTCATTACCTTGTGGCAAGTCTATTCATTATTCCACAAATGCTGGGTTTGCATTAGTAAACCAATATTAGGTCAAAATGGCACAAAGCTTTAGAAAGTTCTACCCACTGTCAGTTTCATGTGGTTTTGATTTCATCTGTCTGGTTGGGCTTTATTGATCTAGTCCTTAAACATGCATCATTTGATGACCACATAGTCATTTAATCTTGCCCCAGAAAGTGAAAATTCCCATCAGAAAGTTTACTTGTTTGTTTGCAGTTAGATGACTTTACATTTCCATCCTATGTATGAACATATCTCAGTGAATTATTCCTCTTTATTTCTCAATTTCAATTTTTATTTTATTAACCACTATAATGATTAATATTCAGCACAACATGCCAGACATCTGCAACTTATTACGAAAAGATAAAGGTTTTTAAAAGATTTCTATGATGTCAGTCACAGCGGTGACATTCAGCAGGATCTTTTTTCTTTATGTTACTAAGATTAGTTAAATGTACATGAATTTCATACAATAATATTACTTTTGGTAAAAAAAATATTTTTTCATATTTCATGATTTCACTAAACAGTCATAACCTAAATTTGATTCAGGCATGGTGGATAATACGTTGCATAGTTACTTTAATTGGGATGCGTCATAAAGACTTAACATGAGTTTACAGGCACAACAAAGAGAAATACAAGAAGATCTCTGGCTCAGCAATTGTATGTTTCCATATTCAAGCAGATTCAACTCACTTCACTTCTGCATCACACAAATCTCATAAAATACTAAGCTCTTCAAGTTTTAATGTTTGCGATTCATATTTGTCAGCATTTTATAAAGTTTATTAATAAAGTTTTCAGTTAGATATAATCAATAAAATTTGGGATGGAGATTGAGATTTCAGAGCTTTGGCAGAGAGAAATATTATCAGTGAATATTAGTCTACATCTTGGTCTGTTCCTCACACAAAGGCTATCATATATATTTACATTTAGTCATTTAGCAGACGCTTTTATCCAAAGCGACTTACAAATGAGGACAATGGCAGCAATCAAAATCAACAAAAGAGCAATGATATACAAGTGCTATAACAAGTCTCAGTTAGCTTAACGCAGTACACGTAGCAAGGGTTTTTAAATAATATAATAAATAAAAAGAAAACAGATAGATTAGAAAAAGAATAGAGCAAGCTAGTGTTAGAGGTCTTTTTTGCTTTTGTTAATTGTATAATAAATGAAAAGAAAACAGATAGAATACAAAAAGATTAGCAAGCAAGTGTTAGTTTAAAAAAAAAGAAAGAAAACAAGCAGCAAATTAAAGGGACAAGTGTTTTTTTTTAAGAATAGAATTAGAATAGAGAGTGCTAGAGTTAGAGGGTCAAATAAAGATGGAAGAGATGTAGCAAGAAATGTCTGTTAGACAAGCTGAGATGCGAGCAGCTCTAGTCGTCTATCTATCTATCTATCTATCTATCATATGGCTTCACAACACTTGGAATATAGTAATATGTTTACTATGCACTATTTTAATGGTATTTTTAGTTTAAGAATAGAGCTGCATGAACATTCTTCAAAAACTGTACTTTTGTGTTCCACGGAAAAACGGGCTCCAAATGTCATTGCAAACCCTTTTTTCTTCATCTGATCTGGCTTTATTGTTATGCGCAAAAAAACTAAAGAAGAAGAAGATCTCGCGTTTTTTCGAGTATCCATGAGACTTTTCCAGTCACGTGACTTACAGCTGTCTCAACGTCACAGCAGTCGTCGGTCTGGATAGTTCCACATGAGCGAAAAATGGCGTTCACATTCGCGGCCTTTTGTTATATGCTGGCGCTACTGCTGACGGCGGCGCTTATCTTCTTCGCTATTTGGCATGTAAGTATTTTAATTAAACTCCAACCGAATTGGCGAGACTTTGAGCACACAGATAATTGGCGGATAGTGGCATTAGTTAGACACACAGCAGAGCGCGAGACAAAACGCGAATGAATGGCACGAGCGAAAGCTGGTGACACCCATTATAATCATCATCACCACCGCTATTCTTCCGTTAAACAATTAGGGGCCTTCCGTGTATTTAACCGAATTATCTACAGAGTTAGTCATATTTAATTCACGCTATGTTGACCAATTTGTTATATCTGTTTGTTGTGACCACGGGCGGATGGGGCGCCCGCTCCCGTTTAGCTCTGGTGCATGTGTTTACAGATCAGTGATAAATCAGAACTGCTACTAAAATCAACAAAATAGACGCTAATAAATATCAAAAACCCGACGCAGTGTGATCTTTTATACATGAACCTCTCAATCTGGAGTCACTGGGTCTGTCTGCATCATTTGGGCCTTTAAATGTTAGATTTAGACAGAACTGTCATGTTTTTTGTGAAAATTGGGAGTCACATTATGAGTTATTTGCGAACAGAACCGCACCACTGTTCAGATCTCGTAGGCTAATTCATTGCTGCCTGATGCTATTAACTTGTTTCAGAGATAACACTTTAATAACCAGAATCGATGCAGACAAATGTCACTACAGTGACGGGAATATCGATTTCCCACCATTATTTTTCCCAAGATTCCCAAGGGGAAATATTTACATTAAATATAATAATATTACTTTTGGTAATAAATTAGATTTGTAGTATTTATGACTATAATATGACTATTCATGAGTAAATAATTATAATCGGAATGATTCAGGCTTGATGGATATAGTACACTGCATATGTTTTGAAGTTGGGATGGATGAGTCAAAAAGGCTTAACACTTGAGTTTACAGACTACTATTAAAGCGGTTTAAATTTACAACATTTCCGCATCATAAAACTCATAAAATATTAAGCTCCTCAAGGAGCAATTTGTTAACAATTCATATTTGTTAGCATTTTATAATGTCTGTTTATAAATGAATATTAATTTGAAATTTAATTCATTCATTCAGCACACATATATTTCTGAATGTTTAAAAACAATTTAAGTGTTTCTTAAAGAATAACATATTCCTGACATATGATAATGTTTTCCAGATAATTGCATTTGATGAGCTGAAGACGGACTATAAGAATCCTATAGACCAATGTAACACGTTAAACCCGGTAAGTGCGAGATTTTGGAGAGATGGCTTATGATGCATGCACTCCTGTTTCTTCTCTTCTATCTCAACACTGTTCTGCTAATCGATGAAATCATCTGCAGTGAATGTTGCTTTCCAACACTAACACTACTTTGGTTCGATTTTTCTGATTTGCATTTTGTCTTATTTTCTTAATATTTGCATTTGACCTTTTTTTCTCTGATTGGCTCAAAGACAGTTGACAGGGTGAAAAAAATTAAAAGGGTCAGGCTTGCTCTGAAGGTTGGTACCAGAATTCAGTTTAAGATCAGTAACAGTCTCTCTGTGTGCACGAGCGGAGTGTTTACAAATGTCTTTTCAGTTGACTAACACCTCACAAATGTACAAACAAGCCAAGCAGAGAGGCAGGACTTTGATTACGCCAACTAGACAGCTTGAAATCAGAGTTTGTCTTTGTTGCAAACGCCATCACATCTGCCGAATGAACAAAACCCAGATTGCTCCTTCAGGGTTGCTCTTATTTTGCTCATGTTTGGCTGGTTGAGTCCGTTACTGTGGGTCTGGGCACAGGCACAGATGTCATCTGCACAGGTGTTTATTTGAGTGTAGGAAAGACAGCGGTTTAGAGGGAAAAGTGTTAACTGAAAAGACTTGCAAATGCTCAGAACATGCATGTGCTGTTCTGCCCTCCCCTCCGTTTACTCTTTACCCAGAGCGACTATTAAAAGGGTCAGGCTTGCTCTGAAGGTTGGTACCAGAATTCAGTTTAAGATCAGTAACAGTCTCTCTGTGTGCACGAGCGGAGTGTTTACAAATGTCTTTTCAGTTGACTAACACCTCACAAATGTACAAACAAGCCAAGCAGAGAGGCAGGACTTTGATTACGCCAACTAGACAGCTTGAAATCAGAGTTTGTCTTTGTTGCAAACGCCATCACATCTGCCGAATGAACAAAACCCAGATTGCTCCTTCAGGGTTGCTCTTATTTTGCTCATGTTTGGCTGGTTGAGTCCGTTACTGTGGGTCTGGGCACAGGCACAGCTGTCATCTGCACAGGTGTTTATTTGAGTGTAGGAAAGACAGCGGTTTAGAGGGAAAAGTGTTAACTGAAAAGACTTGCAAATGCTCAGAACATGCATGTGCTGTTCTGCCCTCCCCTCCGTTTACTCTTTACCCAGAGCGACTAACTCCATTTATGATGCCTCGCCTAGAAAGTGTATTTCTAAATTTGGCTCAGCTGCAAAACAATTGCACCATTAAGATCATGCAGAAGATGTCATTATTTCAAGTGCACTTGAGCTATGAACGGGAAAGAAGAGCAGATGTATTGAGCATCTTTGGTGCACATTAATTTAGAGTTTAGCAGTAGCATCCTTTAGAAAGGGGTATTTCTGGTTGGCTGTGTCCGAACACTATCTGAGTTTTGAGGCCATTTTCCATATTTATGTTCTTCATAATCGCCATTGACAGTTTGAATTAATTTTGTTTGTTAGTTTGTGTTGGGCAAAAGCAGAATAAACACACTTTCTCTCTTTTTGCATGGGCTTCATGTGTTGTCTACATTTACTGGTTATAATCAGGCATGGCAGGGGCAGCCTGGGGTCCTTGTAGCTGCTCCCTCCCTCAGCACGGCTGCTGTTCTCACTCTGACTGGCATTGTATCCCTATGAAAAAACATGATCCTGCCTCTGTTCCCATATCTTTGTCTGTGGGCTGGGGGTGTAGTTAATGTCGACTCATCTGTTTTTTGCACTAATTTGCTAATGGCCAGATGTTCTATTTGCCTAATAAAAGAAACTCTACATTTATTAAGAGCACTCTATATTTAACTAAATCTAAAGCAGATGGGTTACAGTATGCTCTTTAGAAACTTCAACTGCTTTAGGATATGATAGATGGCCTGTTTCAGAGGTTATTGAGCAGAGATCATTGGCAGGAGAGAGGTCCTTTGGTTGGTTTGAATTTTGATATTGATGTCTTAAATTCTTAAATGGATCAAAGGTCCTTAGGCCATGTTTCCACCAGCACAAAGCATTTTTAGCCTTTTGAAAACACCTAGTTGTGTGAGCACTTGAGAGTATTTCTACATTTGCGTTTAAAGAATTGTTCACCCAGAAATTAAAATTTGCTGAAACTGTACTTGCTCACCATTGGATCCTCTGTAGTGAATGGCTGCCGTTATATTGAGAGTTCAAACAGCTGATAAAAACATCACAATAATCCACTAGTAATTAACACGACTCCAGTCCTACAATTAATGTAAAAAAAGCTGCATGTTTGTAATGAATCTATTACTTGTGGATTATTGTGATGTTTTTATCAGCTGTTTGGACTCTCGTTCTGAAGGCACCCATTTACGGCAGAGGATCCAATGGTGAACAAGTGATGTGATGTTAAATTTCTCAATTTTTACCGATGAACAAATTCATCTACATGGCAGAGGATCCAATGGTGAACAAGTGATGTAATGTTAAATTTCTCAATTTTTACCGATGAACAAATTCATCTACATGTTGTATGACCTACAAGTCATACAACATGTAGTCGTGGCCTAATGGTTAGAGAGTCGGACTCGTAACCCAAAGGTTGCGGGTTCGAGTCTCGTACCGGCAGGGATTGTAGGTTGGGTTAAATGCAGAGCACTAATTCCAAGTATGGGTCACCATACTTGGCCACATGTCACGTCACTTTCACGTTCACCTAAGGGTGAGCAGATTTTAATTTTTGGGTGAACTATTTCTTTAATTGTTAATTTCTCACAATTATTCTCAGCAGATCCTGCTCTTTTGAGGTTTAGAGAGATTTAGATTTTACTTAAGCAGATCAGTAAGTACTAGAGCTCATGGGATGTGGGTAATACGAATGAATCTCACACCTGATTGGCTAGACTTGGGTCACAGGCTTCAGGCGCAGTAGAACTCTAGTCTCTGAGATGAATCTGTGTAAATGTGTTGTCCACTGACCATGTATTATTTGGCTTCCTCAGCTCGTCTTGCCGGAGTACCTCATCCATGTGTTCTTCTGCGTAATGTTCCTGTGCGCCGCAGAATGGCTGACGCTTGGACTCAACATGCCCCTGCTGTCCTATCACATCTGGAGGTGGGTGGGGCTCTCAGCCCTAAATGAATCACAGAGAATATATCAAACACCTCAGCAGATGTGTCAAGTTAGTTTCTCTACAGTTAATAAGTGATTAGTCAACATTGTGTCTTGCTCAAAGTGCAACGTCAAGTGTTTGTTTGTGTGCAGGTATATGAGCCGCCCTGTGATGAGTGGACCTGGATTGTATGACCCCACTACAATAATGAACGCAGATATTCTGGCATACTGTCAGAAGGAGGGCTGGTGCAAGCTTGCATTCTACCTCCTCTCATTCTTCTACTATCTTTACGGGTATGTAGAGTTTAAAAATAAATAATAATTTGTATATATTTATATTTTAATTTCATATGCACTACCATTCAAAAGTTTTGGGTCAGTAAGAAACCTTATAGCTTATATTTTTCTCTGGTGTTTATATTATAGAATGATCTACGTTTTGGTGAGCTCCTAAACTGGATAGAGCTGGAAAGCATATATGGAAGCGTTTGAGATGCTGATTTTAAAACCCAAATGGAGCTGAATTTGGACTCTGCCATCTCTCTCAGTTCTGCTCAGCTGTTTCAAATGGACATTGACTTTATTTACTCCTCATTGGCAAAGAACGATCCAGGAATCAAGCAGCCTGCACAACTCCAGAACCACACATGCAAAAATAAATGATTACCAACTCTTTAGTACAACCTCTTTAGACTTACACATGCCGCACCAATGCCAAAGCACTTCACACACTGAGAGCATTAGTAGATGAGAGGAAACAGTTTGTGTCCAAAACAGAGGCACAAGGGCTTCAACACTATACCACTGATGGATATGTGCAAAGATTTTACTCTTGTGTTTTCAAACTGTAGGACAAAATAAAGATCTTGGTTTTAGCATTTTTACAGACTTCTTTTATCTTATATTACTGCCTTGTAGCTCAGTCAATTCTTTAATTTGTCCTTCAGAGTCGTGTGCTGCTTTGGTGGTTCATGATCTTGTAAGTCCATGAAATTGAACTCATGCTGGTGGTCTGCTTCATGTTGATGGTTCTTATCAGATGAATGCTTCATTTCAAGTGTGTCAAAACCACTGTTTACTGTCTTGTTGGTCGCAAATGAGAACTGATGCGTTCAGTGTGTTGAAGGCTTTACTTTGCTCGTACACCCTGGAAATACTCCACGTGTCACTTTTTTTTTTTGCTTTTACATTTATTTTTGTGTGCATTTTGTATTTCTAAGTGTAATTGTTTTCTGATTTTGTTTTACCTCTGTTATGTTTTTGTGAGATCGAGATGAGTGTGGACATTGTTTTTAATATTTTTGGTTTGATGTTGGCATGATCTCAGTGTGCCAAGATGCCATTTTCTTTTAGCCTGTCCCAAATCCCAGAGGCTTCAGTCCTGAAGTGATGCTGTAGAGTTTGCATCTGGATTCAGAGCAGAGCTGTGTGGAAGGATTCTTTACCACACTGACAGTTGTTCATAATCACCAAGCTAGACCACAAAGTTGATATTCAGAGTAATAGGTTATTTTTGATTTTGTATTTGATCTGTTTCCCGTGTGTGTGTGTGAATCCAGCTTGATGTGTGTTTGAATGTAATAAAGTCTTGCAAGAGCTGTAGTAAATTGTGATTTTTTCTTTCTTTTCTTTTTGGCTTGTAATATTGTTTTAAAGTTCCCAATAAAGCCCACAATAGACAAATCATGACAAATGCTCATGGCCTATTTTATGATGCCATTCTGTGTGAACTTCAGTTTATTCCATTTGGATAAAGTATGGTTAAAATTGGTTTTGTTTAAACAAAGAATAGGATAATAGTTTTATTTTTTTATTATTAATATGATCGTCTTATGAATAATAATATTGCTAATTTTGTCATGTAATATTTATAACAGTTTTTCAGCTTTGGTAGTCATGTTAACTAAACTGAAAACATAAACTGCATACATTTTCAGTGAAAAAAAACAAAATCCAATGATAAAAATGACTTAAATTCCAAAAATATTATACAAGAGTGATACTGCTTTGCACAAAGCTATATCAGTCATAGTTTATCGAAAAGTACACCCATGTGGCAAACATGAAATAAATGAAAAATCTTTTTCATATTTCAGTAGCACGATAGCATTTGAACTGTTTTGATTGTATGACGATTAGTGTTGTTTTGTTTAAATTAAAGGTTTGGTTAACTTAACAGGTAATTGATGAATCATGACAAATGCTCATGGCCTAGTTTATGATGCCATTCTGTGTGAACTTCAGTTTATTCCATTTGGATAAAGTATGGTTAAAATTGGTTTTCTTTAAACAAAGAATAGGATAATAGTTTTATTTTTTTATTATTAATATGATCGTCTTATGAATAATAATATTGCTAATTTTGTCATGTAATATTTATAACAGTTTTTCAGCTTTGGTAGTCATGTTAACTAAACTGAAAACATAAACTGCATACATTTTCAGTGAAAAAAAACAAAATCCAATGATAAAAATGACTTAAATTCCAAAAATATTATACAAGAGTGATACTGCTTTGCACAAAGCTATATCAGTCATAGTTTATCGAAAAGTACACCCATGTGGCAAACATGAAATAAATGAAAAATCTTTTTCATATTTCAGTAGCACGATAGCATTTGAACTGTTTTGATTGTATGACGATTAGTGTTGTTTTGTTTAAATTAAAGGTTTGGTTAACTTAACAGGTAATTGATGCAATAGATTTCCTTGCTAATGACCACACTGATAAGAAAGAATTGACAGGAATTATTGCAAACAGCTGCATGACTTATCCACCCCACCATCCAAATTACCTCACTCACATAAGCAACATATGGTTTCCCAGACACAAAAACCAATGTTACTCACATATGGAAAGGAAACAAAGCAACCTCTGTGTCCGTTTTCAACTCCCCGTCTCTCTAATGTCTCTCCAGCGCCGGAAAGCTTATCCCATATTAACACGGGTCTGAGAGTTTGCCTGATTGTAAGCTTTCTTTTTCCAATGATATTCCTCTGAATTTTGATCTAGGTAAGTTAATGTCTCAGCCATCTCTTCTTCAACAGTCTAGTCAAATCTCCCGCTTGCTCACGCTCTCTCCTCCCCATCATGAGCGTAAACGCCCCTATTGCTGATTAGCTACAAGAGTGTTATGGTGCTCGTTCTGAACAGTCCAATCCACTTTGTTTTTTCCCTTATTTACACAGCCAGGACTATGTTCAAACACAGTTTGTTTCAGCACACACACACACACACATATTCACAAAATTGTTTGTTTGGGTGTTGATAATTTCCGACAAGTGTTTCTCACACACAGGAGACTCACTTACTGAACAAGACCCATTTAATTGCAAAATTAAAGTTATATATTAAGCACATTATTAGATCGACTTATAAAAATACAGAATTTTTAAAGTGCCATCAGAAAAGAAACAAATGCATTCATAAAGTAGAGGAAATCTATAGAGCAAAAACACCAATTAGAGTAATTTGTCTTTTTTTCTGCTTTTACATCATCTGGATGTCAGGTTGATCATCGGGACACTGATCTCTCTGAAAGCCGCTCTTTGGTTTCTTGATATGCTTCAAACTTCTCACGAAACTCATGAAGGAAGTTGTATTGCTATAAGAGACAAATAAGAAAACATTATTAACAGCTTAGCTGTACAGTTAGGGGAAGTGATGCATTTAGGTTTTTGGATGTTGTCTCTTACCTTGATGGTCTGAATGGCTCCGCCTCCTCTCAGCTCCCTCAGGATCTCTAGAGCAGCACTGGGCGTCATGGAGACAGACAGCTGCAGCAGCAAACATGCAGCAACTGTGACAATGAAGCATAAGTTAAACTCCTAATCACACACACAAGACTGATATTGATTGTGACATTGCACCCTGTTTGAGCATTTGATACTTACTTAACCCTGAGCGTCCCAGGCCTCCATAACAACTGTGGAGGAATAAAAGCACACAATTAAAATATTTTCATATATATATATATATATATGTATGTATGTGTGTGTGTGTGTATTCTAAAATTAAGTCTCTTATTCTCACCAAGGCTGCAGTAAAGTAGTAAAATCAGTAATATTGTGAAATAATTACAATTTAAAATTACTGATTTCTATTTTAAAATAGAATTTATTAATAACAACAATAAATTCATTAATAGTAATAGCAATTAAAAGTTATAGCACAATTGAATTTTAAGCACATGATCCTTAAGAAATAATTTTAATAGGCTGATTTGGTGCTCAAGGACATTCATCATTATTATGAATGTTGAAAACAGTTGCATTTATTGTTTATTTAAAGGGGTCATATGATGCGATTTCAAGTTTTCCTTTCTCTTTGGAGTGTTACAAGCTGATTGTGCATAGATAAGATCCCTGAAGTTGCAAAGACTTGAGAATAAACCTCTAACAGACAGGGCACCCTGTAGCGCACCAGCTCTCCTCTGGTACAGAACACAAACACGTCCTCCACACCCTGATCACGCATCTCCGCTACACACACACACACACACACACACACAAGATAAATCACAGTCAGGACATCAAGCGGTGAACCAAAAAAATTGTACTCAGGAAAAACAAAAATATCCTTAAAATATCCAAACACTGAAATGTATTAATATTACTACAAAGAGGCCCTGCTAAATGCAAAAACATCATGGCATAGACTGAATAGGAAAAATAACCTGGTTTGTTGAAGCCTCTTGAATTTTCTAATAATTCACTGCACAACATTTTTATTCATGCAAATAAACTCATGTCAACAACATGAAATGGAAATAATGGTGGTCTTTTCTCCCTTATTGTGACATATCCAAATGAAACGGCTTCTTGAACAAGAAAAAAAAAGGTAGGACGAGACTCAATTTTGTCCACCAGGGAACTGATTGTCATTTGCAAATTGCTGCGATGTTCATTAAAATTGAACGAGTCTGGAAGGTATTTTTATTTATTTATTTTTGAGGACGAGAGGATGCCAAAGAACCTCTCAATTTTTGTATCTGACTAATTTGACTACCTTTAAATAACTGACAAGAATTTGTGCCTAAATACCATGGAATTTGATTGGTAACTGTGTTCTGGTCTCACCTTTAAAAGTTAAAAAGACTTTATTTTGCTATCCTAATTATTCATGATCAAAAAGTTAGTTGAATTTTATTATATGAATTTGGCACTGATTTTACCTTGCTCCTTCGCAAACCAATCAGAACAGATCTGTAATCAATCAGTCAAGAACCACTGGTTTAGACCATTACTGTATACGTGTGACAGATAGACTCACCAACATCTTTCTGCAGGTTTCTTCTGATTTCTTTATATCTGCATCCTGAAATGAGCAGAAATTAGGGCTGCATGATTAATAGAAATAAAAGTGACATCATGTTATGGCTTAGTGCGATTATTCATAGTGAACCACGGCACTGTGTTAATTTATGCACAAGTAGCTCAAGACCTAGTGTTTTTAGTTTGGTTTAAATTAGTATTAGTATTGTAATTTTACAGTTGTACTGTAAAATACAATTATTATTTTTCTTAAAGGGGTCATATGATGCTATTATAAAGATCATTATTTTGTGTATTTGGTGTAACAGAATATGTTGACATGCTTTAATGTTCAAAAAACACATTATTTTTCAAATACTGTACATTATTGTAGGTCATCTATGCCCCGCCTCTCTCAAACACTTGACAAGCGCAGTCTGCTCTGATTGGCCAGCTGACCCAGTGCATTGTGATTGGCCGAACACCACAAGCACACGTTGGAAATGTAACGCCCCTTACCATAATCGCAGCTTCAGCTTTAAAAGTAAATATCAAGGCAGTTAATTATGTCGTTAGTTTTACCATCAGTTCAAGCCCGAAAGGGCAACAGACAAGGCAGTTAATTATGTTGTTAGTTTTACCATCAGTTCAAGCCCGAAAGGGCAACAGAATCGCGTGATCACAGTGATGATGCAGTACACAAGCCGCGGTTAAGAGCTGACGTGCTATGATTTCTGACAGGCAGTTCACTCTCCTGTAATGAGCACACAAAGAGACATTATTCATACCAGGTAAGGAACAAATGCCAAGAGACTGGGAACACTCCACCACTGACAGAGACAACCTGCACAACAAACACACACACGAACCACAAATCACTCAATCTATGAATATTTCTCCAGCTGTTGAGGAAGTATATGTATGTTTTGCTCACCATGAGATCTGAAAAGGTGTAGCTTCCTCTTCACCAAAGTCCTCTTCGTCAGATGAATCAAACTCACTTGTCCTCATTGCCCCAGTCTAGCATACATACACACAAGTGTAATGACACCAAGATCATTAATCAACCCGGACACTGACATATGAGAACTGTAATGTGAAACTGATATCCAAACAGCAGCTTGTTCTGATGGCTTTGCTTATCATGTAGGAGTGGGACTGAGAAATTTAGATTGTTTCAGTGTAAATTTATGAGAAATAAAAGCATCATATGCTGTGAGTGAGACATTACTAAAGGTTCATATATTCATATTCTCGTTAGCACAACTAATTCTATTTACGCACTCGACACCTCGAAGTTATTCAAAAGAAGCATTACATTTCTACATGCAAACATGAGATGGTCAGCGACAGAGAGAATCAACAACCGAACTCACCGAGACACACCACTCCGCACTGCGCATGCGCGGCTATTTAAAACATACTTAAAGGACTCGTCCAATCATGTTGAACGTGTTTGAAAACCACGCCTCTGTTTGTATAAGACACGCCCTCCCGGCAGTTTCGCTTATTCTGGGGATTAAATATTTATGAGACGTAGGCTCGATTCGTTTTTCGGCTTTTTCGGCGTGGGCTACGGCAATGTGCGTATTTATTCAAAGGTATAATAAAACAAATAATATCTGGGTTATTGAATAAACTATTTTGACCAAAGTTAAAATAATCACAAAGCACGTGCAGAGTCCCTAATCATCTCAGTGCATTCTAGACCTCTGATATGTGAGTGGAAGTCAAATGGAGCTCTAATCAGCCGAAAAACTGCTCTTTTGCTGACTGCGCAGGAGCGCGTGAATGTTCCCGAGTGTTCGGTTTCTCCTCCCGCAGTCGGACAGACGCAGTGCACGACACCAGATAAACCGGGCACCGGGACACAAGAGCGCAGTGATACTGAACGACTAAAACATGAGGTTGTCGCTATGTCAAAGAAATGGAATAACATTTAAGCTTAAAAAGAAATCTTGAAGATTTTCTTTCTGGTAAGTGAGCGCGCGCTGTACATACTTTCGTACATTCTTTAATTTCTTACTAGTATTATTATTTATATTAATAGTAATTACCTTAGTTTGATTATTAAGATTTGGGTTGATGAATAGGCTGAAATACTACATTTTTTGAATTACTCTTGTGTCGTTTTCAGGCTGCTACTTACATTTTTGATAGGACAAATCTGTAATGTACAACTGTAAACTGTTTAGGAAAGTAGAATATTATGAAAATATTTTTGGAAAAAATTAAACTAATAATTTTTACATCTTTTTCACTCTGCTGTAGGGTGGAGCTCTTTGGCAGGTATCTTTCCCCCCACTTGGGAATCGCTGACAGGGCGACCAGCTCTAGGTAAAAACACAAGCGTGCGCCTTGGTTTCACATTCATCAGAAACAGTCACCCAACCCTTTCTGCATTTTTAGATTATCTTTACTAATAACTTGATTATTTATTTGAAGATTTGTTCTCATGCTATGGGTGATTTCAGGTTTTATTCATGCACTGTAAAAAAAAATTGCCATGAATTTACGGGATTAAAGAGTATTATTTTACAGTAAATTACAGTAGTCAGAAATTTACTGTGAAATCAATGCATGCTGGGTCATTTTCTTACAAATGACTGTGAATGAACAGTAGAATGATGCTAACATCACAGTAATTTACTGCTTTTGTTTTACTGTGAATTCACATTATAAAAGTGTCTTTAACTGTGCCACTATGAGAAATGTAGTTGTTTACTACTGTAATTGTTTTGAAGTCACCATAATGGTGATTGATGATCCCATTTGTTTGGGCTCTTTGACCTTGCATAGTCATATTCAAATTTCTGATCAAGTCATGTCAGAAGTGTGACAAATGAAAATATTTGTCAAAATGATGACAAACTAGAATATGAAATAAACAAACTCCCTGACTTTAACAAAATATTATTTGCATGAACATGAAGATTTGATTTTAGCATTATTTAAGCATGAAGATTAATCAGTTACTTTTTTCATATTCATAACTGTTTGTGGATGGATCTTTCACAATAGTGAAGCAACTGCTGAGAAACATTTTTGAAAGATGTGACATCAATACTCGACACACAAAACAAAACACTTACAACATAAACCAACATTACAAAATAAACAAACAACACAAACTGCTATAAGTGAACCAAAAACAAGTTCAATAGCACAAATAAAACCAACAATAAACAAAAAAAACTCTACAGCATGATCTATTCATGCTGCATTGCATGCTGGGTGCCTTCAGAGTACATCTGCACTGTGGAAACACAGAATGATGCTGTTTGTTTAGAAGAAATTTCTGAGAGTGCAGTTAGATACAAGAGAAGTCCCACTGTGAAACTACTGTGAAAGTAATGCAAATATTAACCTGGAATATACTGTAACTTCATATTAAAATTTTTAACAGTGTGATGACACACACTTGGATAAGATGATCATGGGTTACTATTCTTGTAGTGATAATTTGTTAAAAAAAATGGATAAGTAGTATTCTTCTGGTGACTAACCTCTTAAAAAAATATACAATGGATTAGATGATCACAGATCGCTTCTTGTAGTGACTAACTTCTTATGAAACATAAAATGGATTCGATCTGCTTAGCAAGCATCAGACATAAGAACTGAACTGTTGTGTATCTTACTACACCAACATAAATCTCGGCGGTCATCTGCCAAATAAAGACTCTCCACAGAGAATGTTTACAAACCTTTGAGACTGTGTGTTAAATGATGTTTGTGTATCCTCACACAGAAAATGAAATCTCATGAGGGAGAACTGGAGAGGGAGATCTCTAAGGTAACAAATACACACTGACTTTCTTCAACAGCTTTGAAAAATAACAAGAAATGTATATGAGCATTGTAAACATTTATATGTCTGTTAAAAAGACATTTTTGGTTAGTATGTGTAATTACTTGTGATTACTAGGCCTGAAAAAGTCATGGAAACTAATACAAGTCTTAAAATCATGGACATTTCTAGCTATACTCAAAAATATCAAACTGGATAGAAATTGTTCTTTGACAGTGCAATCTGCATAAAATGTGGATGTGTTGTGTTCAGGTTCAGGGCATGGTGTGTGAGTTGCGGGCAGGGTTTTCTCGTGCACTGCTGGAGCTGAATCAGATTCAGCAGGGAGACACTGAGCTGCAGAGCCAGCTGGAGGACACAAGACATGGCTGCAACAAGCGCTCCCTTCACCTAGAGAGTCTGGTGCTGTCCCTCAAGGTGAGATCAGACACCTGTCTTGTAAAATCTGTTCTATGGGTGCTTCAAAATCCTCAAACTGATGCTTCCTCGTTTCCTTGCTCCTCCATCCTCAAGCCCGAGATCCGGAAACTAATCAAAGTTAGCCATCTTGAAAGACATCTCAAATCTCTAATTGCACCACGAGGAGGTGAGGAACGAGGAGCTTTAAGCGAGGATACACAGGTGTATCTTTTGCGGAAGTCTTTCTTGTCGAAAAACTTGACGCATGTATAAATTCTCCTCCCCCTTCACATCTGTAATAATAATTTCAATTTATGTTTTGCTTTTGCAGTTTAAATAAACCACACGTCTCATATATTTCAACACGGTATCTTGCTTTATGAATATTTATAATGAATGTCTTAAATAACTAAACTTTAACAACATAAGGGTAGATCACCTGAGCGCATTTGATGACACTTTGAAGTGACGCTTGAGTAATCAAGAATATTCCAATGTACAAATAAGCTCTCCTTTGATTCCTCCTTCCTCATTTTCTTGTATCTTTCCCTCTCATCCTAAGGGGGGTGGAGCTAAGACATGAGGAAAGGAAGCGAGTAAAGGAAACGAGGATACGCAAATAAGAAATGAGAAGCACTCCTTATGTGTTTGTCGTAGTTATGTTTTCATGTGTGTCTCTTTAGGAGGAGCTGGAGGAGGTACGTTGTCAGTTTCGTCAACTCGGCGAGGCACAAGAAAGAAAGCCACCAGAGAATCCAGGAAGAGAGAAGTAAACACACACACACACACACACTGACATGCATAAATTTACATTTAAAGTATGATTGAAACTGTGTTACACTGTGTTACAGTGTGAGTGCTGATGTGTGTATGTGTGAATGCAGTAATGGAGTGGATGACCGTAGTGGACAGATTAATGGTGCTGCAGAGGCTCCTCCCCTTTCATCTGTGGGTGGAGATTTCCTCATACACTGTTACCTGCAGGGATTACAGGTGTGGCAATGGGCCAGACAGAATTCAGGTGAGCTTTCATTTTTTGGGGGTAAAAAAAAGAAAAAAAAAAGGGATTTTTAATAAAGGGTTTCAAAGTGCAAGTTTTTGAAAACAATACAGACTACAAAAACACAAATTTGTGAAAACGGTGAAGTCATGTGCATGCATATTACATGTTCAGTCTACTGGAATGCATATGTTTGCAGGCGCATGGTTTCTTTAAAAAGGGACATTGCCAACTACTGGCCTGGCATGCCTAATACAGCATTTTTAGTCGTTTTCACGAATCTGTGAAAACGGGGATCATTTTGACAATGTTGTCATCTGTACACGTAACTTTTCAAAAACGGAAAGGAAAAACTTTTCTGTTTTTAGTACAATCATGTTGTGTAAACATACCCTAAAATATATATTTTTAAATATATGTTAAAGCTACAGCTATGTAACTTTTTCTGCTCAAAATTATCAAAATGTTCATAATGAGTGAGAACAATCATCCTCCAAACTGTGTTTTGTCCTTAAAGGTGCAGTAAGCGATTTCTGAGAAACGCTGTTGAAAGTGGATCAGACCGAGCACCAAAACACACTTGTAGCCAATCACCAGTAAGGGGCGTGTCCAGTAGTGATGGGGGTGGTGCCTGTGCTGAATAGCATGTTCAGAAATTTGGAGGCGGAGGCAAGATAGGGGTGTGATTCTTTTGGGTAGGGGTGTGTTTGTTTTGGTGATTTCAAATATCAACAGCATTTCTCAGAAATCGCTTACTGCACCTTTAAATCACTATGGTAAGCCTATAATAATTGTTTATATTTTAGAATGCTTGGGCCGGTTAAATGCATACTTTTATCATTCGTCTGTGTGTGTTCCCATGTTTTTCAAGTATTTGTCGATTTTTACAAAGCTCATCGGTCTGAAAAGCGAGGTGTGCTCTGATTGGCCAGCTATCCAGTGTGTTGTGATTGGCTGAATACCTCAAGCGTGTGACAGAAATGTTACTCCCCTTAACATACTGTGATGCAGTGTCCCGGCGCGACGAGACAAAAACAATAAAACCCATTATAAACAAGGCATTTGTTGCATCCAGTGGGGACATAATTACGGATTATAATGACTTGTACTGTCTTTTTCCACGTTGCCTTGCATCGCGCCGCGTAAACATAAAACCATGTCTGCATTTGTGATCGGAGAAATGACAAACAAGCACTAATTCTTCAATTTAGAATTCCCAGCCAGGACATGTTCCGGAAAAAGAGGATGTATGATCACCCTACTTAGTAATGTCAGCATTGCCAAACGTTTGCACCTCAAGCCATCAGAATCATCCTCACAAAATAGCAGTGCCCAAGCACAACATGCGTAATTACTAAAACAGTGTTTCTCCTGAAGTAACTTGTATTTTATGCTACAGCTGCTATAGAGGGCCAAAAGTTACATAGTGTAGCTTTAATATATTGAAAGAAAATGTTACGTAATACATAATATGTGGCTGAAATCAATTAAGGCGATGTAAATGATATTAAAAAATGCTTAAACAGTGCAATCACAGTACAGCCAATTTTGTTTACTGTTTCAGGTGGAGATTCTCTTTCCTCTGGCACAGATTCTCTAACAAACAGCTGCCTACGGCGGGGTAAATAATCTGTTCCCCAAACCTTTTAACTGCTCAGCATTCACATGTGGATCCTCATGTCTCTGTCTCTTTGTGTCAGGCAGGAGGCGGGGTGTGGTGGAGATGCTGTTGCAGTCTGAACGCGATTATGTGTCTAGTTTGAATCAACTCTATGAGAAATACAAATCTGCTGAGCAAAAGTAGAGAACTATAATCATTATCACCGTTTCATGTCATCTCTTTATCACACACTATAACAAGTGTATTTGTGTGTTTGTGAGACAGTGTGGCATTTGTAAAGCATATCGATCAGATGCTACAGCGCCACCTGCTGTTTTGTAACATCCTAGAAGAACGACTGACCACCGATGAGAGAAGCTGTGCTGCAGGGGATGCTTTCCTTAACCTTACTGGACAGAACAATGTAATGCCATTGACTACTAAAATAATCATATGTAGTCCCGTTTTAAATTGATCAAAAGTGACAGTAAAGTCTTTTACATTGTTAAAAAAAGCTAATATAGAATGCTGTTTTTGAACTTTCTATTCATCAAACAATCCTAAATATCACATTTTCCCCAAAATGTGAAGCAGCACAAGTGTTTTCAACATTGATAATAATGAATGTTTCTTGAGCAGCAAATCAACACATTAGAATGATTTCTGAAGTGACACTGAAGACTGGAGTAATGATGCTCAAAATTCAGCTTTGCAACACAGGAATAAATCACATTTTAAAATGTATTAGAATAGAAAACAGTTATTTTAAATTGTAACAATATTTTACAATATTACTGTTTTCATAATTTCATTGTTTGTCCTTCTGCAGAAGTCTTTCTCTGATGCATATCTTGGATATGTGGCCAGTCTGGGAACTGTCCTGAGAACAGAGATCAGTACAACTTCACCCCACAGCAACCCACAAAATGCACAGGCAAAATATTCCTCTTTCATGTTATGAAATATGCTTAAGCGCACACAGTGATGACTGTTGTGTGTTTAGCTCAGCAGTAGTGAAAGTTCTGCAGGCTGCAAGGAACTATCAAATGAGTCTACAGCAACCAGGCCCAGTTATATCTAAGTGCAAGTCTTTGCACAATATTGGTTTTATGTGTTTATTTCTGTTTTTCTGCTAGGAGAAGAAAGAGAGTTTCAGATTGCTTTCACTACTATTTGCTCCTGTTTCCCGCATCCACAAATACCTGAACATCATACAGGTGAGTCACATACTTGCAGAATAAACTTGATAAAAATGAATGAAAAATATGTTAGCAGTAACACACACACAAAGTGCTTGTTATTTTTATCTATTCTAGGTGCATGAACTTATGCGTTACCCGTGATGTGTTTGTTTTATGTAGACAGCAGAGATTTTCATAGGGGAAAAAAAGGGATTGTAAACTTTGGGTCTGGAAATCCATGATTACTGGATCCTGTATGCATTGTAAAAATAATTTTAAAACATTTTATAAATGTTTAAACATTTAGTAATATAAAGATCTGATTTATGCAGTGATTAATGCTATAGTAGCTGTCACAACATACCCTACTGTAACTTAAAACAGCTATTATTAATTTAATATCTCATATATACGACCGTTCAAAGGTTTGGGGTCATTAAGATATTTTAATGTTTTTTATATATTATTATATATTAAATATTATTATAATCTGTTTTTTTCCCCATTTGTTTTAAAATATAAGTTATTCCTGTGATGGCAAAGCTGAAGTTTCAGTCAGCCCTTCAGAAAACATTCTGATATGATTTGATATGATTTTTTGTTAAAGAAACATTTCCTATTATTATTGAAACAGTTGTGCTGCTTAATATTTTTTTGGAAACTGAGATACTTTTTTCAGGATTGTTTGATGAATAGAAATGTCAAAAGAACAGTGTTTATTTGAAAGAGAAACATTTTGTAACAGTCTAAAAGTCTTTACTGTCACTTTTGATCAGTTTGATGTGTTCCTTTAGTGTCCCTTAATATAGAAGTATTAATTTTTTTTACAAAAGTACTATATACATTGTATTTGTTGAGCTTCCATTATAAGTATATTACTTCAAACTTTAGTTTTTTTTTACTAAGTGAATCTTAATCATTTTCTATGGTGATCGACAGCATGACATAGACACAGTCAACAGGTCAAGAATCTTTAGTTTCAGTCAGTGCTGAAATGTATATTCTGACTCTATTCTGATGTTATGTTGAATTTAGGTCAAGACACTTGAACCTCTAAATGCAGAAATATGAAAAATGTTGTGATGCTAGACGTGACACTGGGGTTGTAGCCCATGAGTTGGCAGTGAATGCTAGAGCACAGTCGAGCAGGGTCCAGATGGCATTACCGCATTGCTGAACTCATGCCACCTTAGGTCTGCTTTGCACACTACTGCAATACTGTCTGAGACAAGAAGTGCAAGTTCAAGTAGTTCAAGCTGTTCAGTACATACAGTATACATTTTCTGCCTAAAATGCAGTCTACTATTTTCTAAGTGATTTTAATTTGCAGTGTTGCTACAAAAGATATCGCATCTTCTCTATTGCACGTCCTGCTTCCACCAGGCTCTGTCACGCAGTTCTGGCGCTGGACATGCAGACTGGTGTTCACTGCAGGAGAGCGAGCAGGTGCTGTGGGACCTCTGCACAAGCTGTCATATGACTTTGGCGAAGACGGGGCCGTGCGAAGAGGGGGAGAGGCCTGAACAAGGGTAAGTCTTATTATTTTGCCGGTTTGTCGGTCATGTAAAGCTTCAGTAAATGTGTATTTTATGAAGTGCTCTTCTGTTTAACTGGATGAAACTGGCTTTTGTGGCAGGTGGTTGATGCTAATTTTAGTGTGTCTGCAGTTTGAGAAGCAGGTGCTGTGCCGAGAGCCCCGACTGTGGCCCTTCCGCTTTTACCAAGTACTGTGCCAACACTAATGCAGATACAGCCAGCGTCACAGCGGGCGCAGGCATAGACAGCACTGTACACCAGAGGAAATGCTGTCGTGTTGGCACCTCACGGACGCTACCTCGGCCCAGTGGCATTTTAAGGTACTCCAGCGTGTTATACAGAAATTAGAGAAAAAAATTTGATGCAGCCTAATAATCTTTTAAAATCTGACTGATAAGAAAAATCTGATCAACCTCGATCTGAAAGCAATTTCTATCTGATTGCAAAAGATGATGCAGATCTTAAATAACAAGTCAATCCCATATAAACATTTAAATGCAGCTACTTTCATAATTGGATACAAATATATTATCATTGTTGAACACACACGTTTGATTTATATATTTAATTTTGATTACTAGACCTGGAAATGAATATAAGTATTAAAATCAGGGGCATTTCTAGTTATACTTAGTTCTAAAATATTTAAAAAATTTTATTTATTTTTTTTACAGTGAATTGCTGTTGAAATTATTCTTTGACAGTACAATCTGCATAAAATTGTTTTCAAAATTAAATAATTTATAAAGAATTAATAATTGAATAATTAAATTTTTAAAAAAGATTGTAGTTTTAAGTCATTTCTTTTACAGCTGCTTTAATGTATGAAAAAAATGGCATAACATTTGGAGCAACTGTAACAACTCTAAATGTATTAATGTACTGAACAAAATCAATTTGAGCATGCAAGTACAGATTATTTGTATTGGAAAGATAAATGGCAATTATTTAATTTTCAAACAACATGTCATTTTCATAATATCAGAGAATAAGCATGTCTTAAAATATATAGCTATTTCATTTTTTTTTAATGAAACCTACATGGATGAATCATTCACAGTAAAATCAGTAAGTAATATACATTTTAATTTCATGTTGACTTTAAAAGTCCCTCATATAAACTACGTTTGTAAACAGCAGTCAAATTTAATGTAATTAGAATTTTTTTCTTACCTATAGTAAACAATGATGTCTCCCCTCAGAAATGGCCATAAGCATATATGTGATCTGACCCCTGGTGGCTGGACTGCAGAGTACATGTGGAATGGCAGCTCAGGGAAGAGCCTCATGGGTCCCATCTGCGTACCCTTCGCTCGTCATCCTAGAGAAGCCGGCCGCTTTCTGAATCCTGTGCCACCTGTAGGTGTCGAGGGAAACCTCACTGCTGCTGCCAAGAGTCAGAGCTCCTCGGCTGGTCTGGCCGTGCGTGTGTGTGGGTCTCCAGGGCTCGACGGACGCATATACACATCTGACCTGTACCCTTCGTCACATCGCCTCGATGATGGGGACATAGACTGCGACGTGGCTGATGCATCCGTTTTTGACTTCTCTTCTGTAACGACCTGTAGCCCAGATGAAACTCTGAATCAGCTCAGGGGAGTGGAAGCATGTGATGATGAGGATGATGTTGAAGAGGACAGTGAGGTTCCAGTTCTCCTCAAACCTTCATACACTCACAATGCTTCAGCCGTGCAGGCAGGGGGAAGCTTATGCATGCAATGGCAGATTCCCAGACGGGCTCCTATTCCTGCTGAGGTTTGCATTGGGGCGCAAGGAAAGACACGTGCCCCAAAACCACACAGAATGCCCACCAGTGCCTTCCGGCCGATTTGGGACCCAACTTATTCACAGGTTTGTGACATTACACAAAAATTAGCACAAGCCGACTGCATCCTACAATTCTGAATCACTATTTTGTCCCACCCTCAGATTCCAGATTTTCAAATAGTTGTATCTCGACCAAATATTGTCTTATCTTAAACCATACATCAATGGAAAGCTTATTTATTCAGCTTTCAGATGATGTAGAAATCTCAATTTCAAAAAAATTGACACTTAAGACTGGTTTTGTGGCCCTTATGACCGGTTTTGTGGTCCAGGGTCACATATAGTACATGTATACTATTAATGTAATCTGGACATACTACATTCATCATGTTGTCATTGTCATGTGACCTACCTGAATCAGTTTCACAAATCCTCTCCCGTGGCCTTATGGGATAGTAATGTGTCCATTGGATGTCACTTCAGAATCATTCCAGTTGTAGCAAGACATCCAGGAACTTTTCACCTACTGTTTTATGAATACTATGAAGTCAGACATACAACTCTTTTCACATACTGTTTTTTACTTACTATATAGTGGATAAGTATGTGAAATGACTGGAAATATCAAATGAACCATTACTAACAAAAACACTCACCTCTTTCAGGGTGATGTGACTCCTGCAAAAGAGAACTCTGTGTCTTTCAGCTCAACCAATCAGATCATTAATCAGCAGCAAGAGACTGACCAATCACGGTAAGGGGCATACGGTAGCGTTCAGAATAGCATTCTACCTGCCAAAATGTGCATTATACAACAGAACATTTAATCATCTATTCAGTTTGAACTAAAGGCCATTTATTTTGCATTTGACACTTAATTTTGGATGCTGGTGCCATCCATTTATGTAAAATACTTAAAATCACCATGAAATAAAACTGTACAATTCTTATTTTCTAAATGGAATATTGCAATGTTTATTATTTTTCTATGCACATAATTAAAAAATAAATAAATAAAAAATAAATGTGCCCTCTTAATCTTTAATAAAAAAAATGTCCCTGGCAACAACATTGTCTCCCTGCACAAAGGCAAGACAATAAATCCTTCCCTTCAGCAACATGTCAATCACAGAGATCACAGCAATTAGCAAACCTCAATGATCCCATCAATTTCCAATGGACAAAATCAAGTCCTGTCCTCGTTTCCACTTCACTCTGATATACATCAAAATAAGAAAGAAAAGACGTTCACTATGTCATGCTGACTTTAAATCAATTAACTAAAGTAAAAAAAAAAAAAAAAAAAAAAAAAAAAAAAAAAAAAAAAAAAAAAAAAAAAAAAAAAAAAAAAAAAAAAAAAAAAAAAAAAAAAAAAAAAAAAAAAAAAAAAAAAAAAAAAAAAAAAAAAAGGCACAAGATACTGCATGTAACGATAAAGTTCTGAAGTACATTTCAAATAATTGGCTTAGAATTCTCTACTATTATCCTTTTTTAGTGTAACTGCAGTTTCAGTTTAGTTTAGGGTGTTTACTTCATTTTAGCTACATATTCAACAGCACTTACCTCTCAGCCTGCAAATACATCTGAGATATCTGCAGAGCCAGTAGTATGCCATTCCAAAAGATTTCTGAAATCAAATAAAAATGTCAATAACATTATGTGCAGTTATCTCTGTGCTAAACTTAAAATATTGTGATGCCAGTAAGTAGTAATGTGTGTGTGTATATGTTGTTTTAGATCTGCATATAGAGGGACTGGAGTTCAGCGGGCTGAAGCAGTGTGGCATGACAGCGAGGACAGTGAAGGACCCTGCAGTACAGTCTGACACACTCCTATGCCAGCAAACAATTAATATTACGCACTGGTGCAACTAATCATACACAGGGAACTTCTCTGCTTCATCCAATGAAATGACTGGAATCTTTTTTAAATATCTGAGATTACAATTGATGACTTATTCTCACTGTGAATTGACATGAAGCACCAGCACCCTCACCACAGCTAAATTCAACAAAAGTCTTCCAGCATGATTTGATCCGTCAGAGAGAAATAAACACTTTGATGTAACAGAATGCACATAAACAGAGGAATAAAAACGTTCAGTAGAAAATAAGACTGCGAGTTTATTAATGAGTCTCATGGAGAACATGGTACAAAAGCAGTTACAGGCTTTGAATGCACACGCAGACACACGCACAGACACACACACACACAAACAGTGAGTTTTTGGGAATTACTAACACTTCAAACCAACTGACCAATCATCTCTGTGGGAGTGGCCAGCATGAGATTCTACACATACAGGATGTGACATCACTACAAAACACTGCAGTCCCTCTATGGCTGATCGCCTCGGAGACCATTTCCGTGGTCGATTGGATAGGAATTGCTCTGGTGATGAAGCCCTTCCTGTATGGACCTTGTTTGGTTGATGGAGCGAACCTGAATGAGAGCAGGAGGCGTGATTTACAATAGAATACAATACAACATTCTGACCGTAGCGTGGTGTCCGAAAGTTCATGAGTTTTGGGAAACAGCCCGACGGTTGTCCTGACCAGCCCATAGGACGGGGGTTAGCAGGACAGGGTCATAAAGTCACAGGATTGTGAGTTTGAGTCCTCTGCTTCTCTGTAACAGTACTGCCCTAAAGTGCAAAAAAGGCTCACCGCACACTATTAAGACACACAAACTAGACACTGGTCCACACCAAACACTCTACAACAGTGTGTGAATCCGGTGGGTCTCAGACTGAGATTGTCAGTAGATACATCAGTATCTGGGCCACCACGGCGCCGAGGTGAGGGCAGATATGTCACTCTGTACAGAATACTTGGAGCACAAATGGACGTGTTGTCTAGACATTTGTTCTAAGCATGGTCAAGGCGAATGCTTTCAGACACTTAATTTTTGTTCAGTACTGATATTGAAGGCACATTAAGAGTCTGGTGCAGAAATCACAGGTCGTAAGCATCGGAAGAGGGGTGGGGATTGTGATGAATCAACGAATAGATGAGTACGCCTTTGAGGGGAGGGGCTAAGACATCATATTGGCTTTAAATAGTGTAAGCAAAAAGCTCTCATCAAAACTTCAAGAGTTCACCTGAAGGGTACAATCTCTGGTCAAGGTCACGGTGATGAGTTAAAGGCAACTGAAGAGAAGCGTGCTGAGGGTGTTTGGGTTGAACCCTGGTTGACCTTTGAACTGCAACCAAATAAACATCCACAGCAGAGTCTGACGGTGGTGAAAGGCCTCAGAGCAGCATTTCCATCAGTGAATGTGCTGTCGATGAGCACATGACCTTGCGTAGTTCTGCATGCTGAACGTCACGTGACGGATGTGAAAAATGAGGGATAATAACATTCCTCAAGAGCAATGAGCGTCTTCAGGTTTTTATTAGCATCAGATTGTCTGGTTCCAGGTTAAACGTTGTTAAAACACACACACATATACACACACACACACACACACACACACACATGTGAGAGAGTGTGTGTGGATTTAGAGAGTTCTCTTTTGTAAGTCTTGGGTGGCAGTTTTGGCAGCGCGGAGGTGGAGTTGTGCCGAGGTGGTATGGGAGGGGCCGGAGTGGGCGGGGGCAGGTGGACCAGCATGGGTTGACTGACGCTGTGCGTGCAGGGGCGCCGAGGCACGCGTGGAGAAGGCGTGCCGGGAGGCGGAGCACGGGGTGAGGGAGTCCCAGGAGGGGTGTTGGGAGTGCTAGGCGAGCTGGTGAAGTCCCAGAGGAAACGGCCTCCTGGAGATGGCTGCATGTTCACTGGGTAGTTGATGAAGATCTCCGGTGGTCGTTGTGGAATTGGCGGAGGTGTGTCTGGCAGGGGATCGCGGGGCGGAGGGGGTGGAGGGCTCGGCAGCGGCCCATCTGTTGGCCCATTGATCACTGGAACACGTGGTTGCAGGCGAGGAGGTGGCGGCTGTCGTGGTGGAATGGCGGGAGGACTTTCAGACCTGAAACTTAACTTAAGACAGGACAGAATGCACTCATGTAAATGTGACAGCACAACATGATGCAATGATGAAAGCCTGTGAAACTGACTAAATATTATCTTAGTAAAGCAAGAGGACAAATTCATTTTTTAAGTAATGAATTAGAAAACAAAATACAACTAAATAGAAGCATTTTCACAAGTCTCACAAATGCTCAAAGTAATGTGCTCTTTTTCTTAAATCTTTTTTTTACCTTATAGGGCTACATTTTTTTTAATAGGGAAAGTTGTAATTTAAGCTTGAAATGAATGAAGAAAACATCTAATCCTACACAAATTAAGCCAATTAATATGATATTCTTTTGGTTTCTATACCCTATATTTAAAAAAAATGCAAATGAATATACAGGTATCGTTAAGTACCAAAAATGAAAGCATTCTGGAAAGTGGTATAGGAAAACCTACAAAAAGGAATGATTAAAAAAGATTCCATTTTGTAGTAAAATATTTTGTTCAAATATGCTTGTAGCTATGTTGTCAACTCTTTAAATCATGAGTATTATGTATAGTTTCAAAGAAATGCAAAAAGGTGTGCACAACCAAAAAGACCCAAAAATTGGGTTCAAGTGCAGGACAGAAAATGATACATATAATAAACAAATACAATGTCAGCGCATTGTAAATTATAGCTCCAAAAACATTTTTTTTCCAATGGAATTTCTTTTTTTGTTTGTTTTTGGAGTTTTAATTTTCAATGTGTGGACATTATAGCATGTTTCAAAGTAACTTCCTCAACACTGTATGCAAGTCACCTTGGTCTCTGAAGAGGTATCTTTCCTGCGGGGAGGTAATGGAGGGGGTTTAAGCAGCTCATCCCCAATCAAATGGTGTAAGCTGCCACACGACAAATACTGAGACTCTGACAAAGAGAGAAAACACACAATCTCACAGTCCGTCACATAAAGCAGGAGAGCTCTGCTTTGGGAAAATGATGACTTCACACTTACTGGACTGAGCAGGGCTCCAGACAAAAAAATCGAGTAAGGAGCCATTGGCTCCTATATGAAAGAAACGTAGGCACCAAATTATTTTTTTTAGGTGCCACAGAATAAACGTGTTTTACTTATTTGATTATTAGTTTTTTTTTTTTTTTTTTTACATTTGAACATTTCAATCATACTGTAATGTGTTTGTCTCATCTTTTCTTGACTTTATCAGCATTTTAATCCATCTTGTAGATGACCTGGGAACTAAGGTTCACTTAAAGTGGGAACTAAATGTCTTTTCCAACTTGAAATATAGTCACGCATTGTTTATTACACAGAATCTGTACCAATATCACGGACCATAAGCATCACTTGGCCACTGAGTGTAGTTTGGGCTCCTCCTCAATGCATCCTGTAAATGTTGTCATACACTCCTAAAAATAAAGTTGCTTCACGATGCCATAGAAGAACCTTTTGGTCTAAATGGTTTCATAAAGAACCTTTAACATTATAAAAAGTTGAGAAAGAGATGGTTCTTTAAAGAACCTTTGACTGAATGGTTCTTTGTGGAACCAAAAATGGTTCTGTGAAGAACTTTTAAGCACCTTTATTTTTAAGAGTGTATGTCATTCACACTTTCAGTCTGTTTTTCTTAATTAGTAAAATGCAATTTTATAGGAGTTGAATCATACAACAGGTTAAGTAAAAATATAAAAATGCAACAGCGCATAAATATAGCAAAATGCTCCTTTAGTTATTTTTCTAGCTGACTGATGAGCTTATGGACACCGAATGGTTATTCTTTAATATTTTTGGTCGCAAATGCAACCGTTTTAGTCGCAGTTTGGAGCCCTGCTGAGGCAGCAAAACTGGGGCAAATATGCTGTAGTTACCTGCAGAAAAACAAACAAAATGACATTTAAGCATGTCTAGGGAAAAAATTATGCACAAGTTTACTAGCTGATCCTTAACCATTGAGTTACCACCACTCCCCTCTCACCAAAGGAGCTGCTCAGGTCGTGCTCCATGAACACAGAGTTGAGGTCAGAGCTGGCAGACTGTGGAGGTGTGGGTGTGTTTGGAGAGGTTGGGAGAGAAGGGGGGGTCTCAGGTTCTGTTTCTGCAATGCTCCTGAAAGTGATTTTGTGAGGTGGTTCTCGTTCTAATGGCACTGGGTGACCTTTCAGCGTCCCTCCTCCTCCTCCTCCTGATGCTTGCCGCACTGGTCGAACGCCAGGAGACTTCAGAGAATACGTAGTCTTTCTGGGCTAAAGGACACAACACGCTCAGTTGTAAAACCAACATACTGTTATAAACTTAAACCACCTCACTTTACTCATCAATAGGGGTGTAAATCGGATGGTTCATCACGATACGATATCGATTCTCATACCCAGCGATATGATATTTGCCGATACCTCAAAAAATTATACGATACGATTCGATACAGGAGTATATCGATCGATATATCGATATTATAATATTATATACCTATTTTAAACAACCATCTACATTTTTATTAACTCACAAATGCAACCAAAATATATAACATGAACATTTATCTGAAATTTTCACATCCTGTTCCACAATTGGGACATTCACAACAAAAAAATAGGCCTACACTTTTTTTTAAATAATAAAGAAAATAAACAATTGGAAAAACTATTCTGGCTGCTACTATGGGCTCAGTGCTAAAAACCTTTTCTACAGATAACCAAATTACAAGCAATAGCAGAAAATAAATACAAAGACACAAGTTCAATAAACAGTGCTTTTCAGGTTTTTCAGCTCAGTCTAAAATCAATTTTCAGGTACACTACAGAAATGTAATAATCAAATGTAAAATAAGTGCATAGTCCTCAATGTATAAATTAAATATAGATCAATAATTTTTGATGTTACAAAGTTTATTTAGTCAGGAGCAGTGAGCACTTGTATTTTTCTTTGACAGCATTAGATTTATTATTAGTTTGCTTTCACTTTAAAGGGGTCATATGATGCTTTTTTAAAGATCATTATTTTGTGTATTTGGTGTAACAGAATATGTTGACATGCTTTAATGTTAAAAAAACCCATTATTAAAACGCGCATTTTGAAGTAATTTTGTCTGTATTTATTCATCCATGCATAACAAAGCGGAAGAGAGCTCAATTTAGTATTCGCGCGGTGTAGACGCAGCTGTCTGTGTGCGTGCGCTTCAGATGTGTGCGCAGAAATCTACTCACACAGCGCTCGACTGTTCCGCAAACAATCCCGAGCGTCTTTTATGCTCACCTTGTGCTTTCGGGCAGTGCTTATATCGAGTCCTGATACGTGAGTTTGAACGAGAATGCACGCATTGGCGGTAATGCTTAGACGGACATTATGTGAAAATGTGGACAGTGCCAAAATAAAGTGCCTATTTATACTACAGATATCGATATTTTACGTGTGGCATCGATACATCATATCGTTTCTCCTAGGTGGTCGTCCATAAAATGCATTGCTGTTCTGTTGTAAGTAATCTTAAAGATTCCTAAATGCACTAAATGCATGAAGGCCAAATAAAGTG